GCAGCAAAACCTCCTGATTGGATGATTGGATTAGGTCACTAATGATTTGATCTCAATGGTCTCAAGATATTAGACTTAATTACTAGCATACGTCTATGCTGAACTATGTTGCTACACGAGATTCTAAAGTCCAGATATCTTTCTTATTACCATTGCTATCTTAATTTCAAATTTTTCTTCACTTTCTAGTGACTCCATTTTGATCAACGATCCTTCTTACTGACTCCAATCCTCAAAGTAAAATAGCGGAACAACAACGAAAAGGGAATGGTGTAAAGTGAAATGGGCATAGTTGGAGGATTTTGCCATATTCCAGCCGGATGTCATCGGCCACCGAATCACACGATTGGAACCAAGTAGGCACACACATAAATTTGCGCCCTTCTTTCCCTTTTCACGAAGTATGTGGGTATATATAACAAACGAGAACTGAACGAACATCTCCAAATTCACCATCTCAACATATAACTTTCAAAATAAGTAAATAAAAGTAAGTAAGTAAGTTTAAGGCGAACACGTGTCTCATCAAAGGCTGTTCAATTATCACAATCAAAGTAGCAAATGCGTAATCTTGGGCAAAGCTCTGGTTCCAAGAATCAACCATAGATAGTTTGTATTTGAAAAAATATTTGAGCACCTTGGGACCAGAACCTCAAAATCATAAGAGAAATGAAGCACAGCACTACTACCAACACAAAATCAGAATACTATGCTTTTTTACCCGTCATTACAACACTGTTCACCTTGTCCGATGGGGTTCCATATTCGTTCTCCTCCAAATCACCCAACGATTCACCAGGAGAAACTTGGCCCATTTCTAGATGCCCTCCAGAGAAGCCCGTCGACATCTCGGCGAGTCTGAAACAAATATTTGCCATGACTGCTTATGGGACACAATCAACAATGCTTTCCATGTCCGATCTTCCCTTAAAAGCGCCAAGCAAGCGGCTTTCTTTGCGTTACCCAACGTTCTGAGGCAAAACATGCCACCGCGAAACCGAACAAAAATGGTTAATCACCATTTCTAATGCGTTAGCTGTACAGGTCACACCAAATTTCCATCATGCAGCCAATGATATAGAGATTTCACCTTCGAACCTGAGGAAGCAGACGACCTTACCTTTTATCAACTTTGTCGATCATCTTTTGGAAGTCTGCTGCTGTCGGTTGTGCAGCATCAAGTTGAGCCATTGTTGAGCGGCCTGCTTCATCACCAAGTCGAAGAACGTTATCAAGGAAATCGTCGCCAAATGGATCTAAAATCTGAGTGGATCTGTTTGCTATGTTGATATGATCAGTAAACACTTCCAAAGCATAAATAGACGCGCTTGTAACACTGTAATTTAAGCCCAGTTACCAGAATTGAAATATGTCTCTGTTTTAATATACTGACCGTACTCCTTGTTCTCCTTTGACTTGCTATCCGCACGAGGATCGAAATTATCATCAAAGACATCTTCCATTTGGTCCAGCTGTAGGTTCTGAAGTCGTCGACCAACCTGGAAAGATCTCGCAAATCAAGAAAATGTGGCAAATGCAAAACTAAGAGCATTTCAGTCAATTTTCTCACCTCTGGAACAGGTACTGTATTTGCACGTGCAGGTGGATTCCGACGAGGAGCCACAGGTGGAGGTGGAGCTAATGTGGGAACAGGGCATGGAGGTGGAGCAAGGGATGGAGCGGGTCCAGAAGGAGAGTAACCAAGTGTTTGTGGAGTATTGTGGCCTGAAAAGGTATTGTATACACAATGAAACTCTTAAAAATGAAGCCTCACCATTTAGTTGAGCTGCAGTGTTAACAGTTGGAGGGAACTCGGATGGAGCCGTGACAAGACCAGTGAAAGGATCGTTCGATAGCACATGTGTGTTATGAGGCGTAGAATACGTCGTCTTAACAATAACAAACAGTAAGTTGTTCTCTGATACATGGAGGATTCTCCAAGAAGCCGCCGAGATATTGAGTTTTCGACAATAATCGAAGATACTAAGGTGCCGACAGCAACCCAACGTTTTTGCAAGCTGCTATGCTAAAAGAGAGGAAATGCAAAGTTCGCTAACATTTTGCGTCAATCCAGGTGGTGGACCAGAAGGCATCGGAGTTGATGGCAATGCTGGTGTATCGAGTAGCGATAACTGTAAAGTGTACTTTGTAGTAACTGCGATAGCTACAACAACGAAACAGAAAAAAAGATGTTTATAGCTAATATCAACACAACACACCTGCGGAGTTTTGTTTGCCCTAATTGCCTCAGCTAGCCGCTGACTGAGCACTTGATTTTCGGCCTCTAATTCCGCTATCCTTTTTCGTAATACGAACACCTGAAGAAACTTCAATAAATGAGATTCGCTATGTTCACAAAGGTAAAAAAAGATGGTGAACCGAATACAACATCAGCTATGATTTGGAGGGTTTCCTTAGCGTGAATCAAACTCATTTCAAGAAAACTGCCCCCTTTTGTCACTGTCATTCCCAATGTAGCAGTTCAGGGACTTGGGCCTTCAACGAAATGATAGGAAGCACATGCTATTATGTTTTGATTCACGTTTCTCACACCCGCACCGCAGGCGATAGGCTTAGGAGGATCTTGCACAACACTGGCGCTAACCACAGGCTATTTGTATTTTTCAGGTTCATTTAATCGCGTTTAGCAGACGTAGCGCGTAGTTTATACTTTATTTCAAGCAGCACCCTGTTTTCCTAAATACTTTGCTGCCTCAAAAAACTTGTGCACATGAATCCAGCTCTGCTAAATATAGAATGCCTGAGGAGGTGTGAATGGGGCGAGTGAGTAGAAAGAGAAGGTTAGTGTACCCAAACACTAACTATACAATAATTTCATGAAGATTAGCACACATTCGGCAAAAAAATAACCGATTTCTCAAAACAGTACCTGTTTTTGGTTCTCCAACGAAGTCCTGTTTTTATCCAAATATCTCTGGAAAAGGGAAACATAAAAATATAGTTATTTCAGCGGAAATTCTTAGCTTTGATTGTTAGAAAGAAAATGAATCTGAAGCGTGAAGTACAGCTGCTCACCTTATACGCCAAATCAAACGCCTCCCCTACAGTCAATGTGATTTGTTCAGCCATCTTATCACTAAGAAATACAAAGCATTCGTGTTTCTCCGGATCTGATTGTGATTTCGCAATGAAAGAGAAAATGCGTTTGTCCTGAAAATTAGAACAAACGTACAGTGTGATAGCAGCATACCATCTCATGTGGAAATTTGGTAACAATTTCTACAAAGTTTTACAGGTTTTTTCTTATCAGTGAGATAAAGAAAGAATATAAAGTCGTACCTGCTTGTCGTCGGCACAAAAAGATATCTTCTGAAGAGGATAACGATGAAGAATCGCTTTAGATTTATAGTCGACTATCACGACCCCTTCTACATTGATCTGTATGTCAACTTTTTGAAGTTTAACTCCGGATTGTGTCGATTCAAATCGTTTTACCTTGAAAAGAATGTTTATGCGAGCTTCAAAGAACAAATTTAGATAAGAAGTGAAGCGAAAGCATAAACGATAACATTAGCATTCTCACCCCATTTTGAAACTGTATTGCATGTATGGCGTCACGAATTGCCTTTGTACCTTTGGGTTCTTTGACTTCTTGGACACCAAAAAACTTCACGCTGTACTCGACACGGCCGTTCAATAGTACATCGAAAAGCATTAGGAATTATTTCGTCAACTTTTAATAATCGAGAAGCAAAAAAGTAAATTTAATATTAGCACGGTACACTAATGTACCTGCACTGAGAAGAAGTTAGACGACAATATAGAGAGGAAGAAAAGTTACGTGTAATTTACACCAGCGTTTATGGCAGTCAATCAAAGAATAANACAGCTGGTTATTGAAGTCTGAGCATAGTAAAGAAAATTTCGGTCAAACCAACGAATGCACGTAAAAATAGCATGCCCTAGACTGGAGAACACAACAATATGCTTTTCATCAGTCTCAGAAATCGCACAGTTAAAATAAAATGTTTAGAGTGGCAACCTTCGGTTCTACACTTTCCTTCCTAATATCTAATTAGGAAGAAATATTAGATTTTATCCATTTATAGTTTTCATAATGTTTTTTACGTTACTTGAAGGTTTATCTCGCCTACCTGGGGGATGGATCCAATCCGTTTTACCGGAACCACTACCGTATTTGGCGCCGGATGTGTTAGAAGTAGATTGCGATGAGCTAAGCACCTAAATCGAAATCACTTCGTTACCGATCACTATATGCCTTCAAAAAAAGTCAAAGCGTGTCTACCTGCCTGTAACAAACATATTTACACCAGGTATGTTGCAACAGATAGAATAACTATAGAAGAACCAACACTAAGAGTGACAGATCCGCCACCCTTCCAGACACCTAACAGACTCCCACCTTAGAAGTCGACGTTTTCGTCAACCTGCAGACTACCGGTAAATGTCGCAGGGAACGTGTAGCAAAAGACGCTGCTTTCAACAATGACATGCCGAATATTATGGCATGTGGTTATACATGATGGGATATTTTGCGTGGTATTGTTATAATGATACGTGAAGATGATATATAAAATGTCCCCACGTCATCTTATCGATTGAATTAAAAGATCTGTTGCCAGGAAAAGCAATGAGTTTACGAATTGCTTAGTTTCTTTGAAACAATGGTGCTTGCAGTTTTCCACGAATTCTGCCAAAAAATCAATAACGGGTCAGACCCGACATTACCGCAGTTTCATAGAAACTACTAGAACAAGAGGCTGAAATGCCGAACTTCTGTTGAATAGAAAGAATAAAGTATAAGACGCCAACAAAACTGACCTCATTGACGGAACTCGAAATCGATCTCTTAAACGTCCTATAGAGATCCTTCCCCTTAGATGTCATCTGAAATAACTTTCAATGTAACACGGAGATAGAACAGAAGGAACTTTTTTCACGTAAATAAAGGCGACTCAACCCTTTACAGATAAAATCATAGAAAGAAACGAATCAAAAACTGAACAAATATAATCACAGAGGATCCTTATTAGAAATGAAAGACTGAAATTAATAAATATTGCTCAAATTCAGGCTGCAATGAAAGGTTCCAGGACGAAATTATCAATGCAAAGAGTGGCTTCAACTAGCCAATTTTCTTGTAAGAACTTTCTCGTTGACAAACAAATCTGGTATAATCTTACTAATTCTATAGGAAAGGATGTCTCAGATGCTTAGAGGAAGCTATCTATTTTGACCTTGGGAAATTGAGCTATAAGCGCATCTTTTCCCACTATCTCTTCTCCGCCACTCTTAACCTATACACTACAAGAAATACAGTTTACAAAATATAACTCTGAAAAACGAACGTAGTTTCAACGGAAAGGGCTACGATCAAGATGTGTAATTCTGACGGAATTTCAACTTATACGACGAACAAGAAGAGTATTTCAAGCTAGTTAATAAAGCAGAAAGATTCCCAGGAAAAAAACGTCTGGGTTTCAGTTTACGAATAATCCCATGTTCAACGGCATGTCAGCTGACTTGAACAAGATCAATATGAATGGAGCTGAAAGAGCGTAACGACCGACACCGTTCAAACCCCCCTTCGAATCGGTCTAATAAAAAAGCATCCTAGGCAAAGCACACATAAAGTGTGCTACGAGAGCGTTTTCTCAGAAAGACTCCATTCTTAGCTGACATTCTTTCAAAAACCAAACTTCGTTTCGATTGCATTCACTTTTGGTTCGTCATGAGACAGAATTCGCCGAGCAGATAGAAATATAAGCGTCTAATTCGGTTGAACTTCGCCTATCCTTTGCGTTTCAAGAAAGTTGTTGGGCCCAATAGCCTACCATCAACTGCTTTTTACCTCAACTACTTCACAGTCAGCCATTCCATAGCCAACCAATAAATTTGTATGTTTGCACGGTATTTCGTGGTACTACGACCCTACTGTTATTCGTCGCTGATCGCCATGTTATGAATACCAGAGGTCTGTTTTCTCAGTAAATGAAGGTAGGGACGACTGGTACACGTCACAGCTGCTAAGAGGCTTAAAACAAATAGAGAACGATTTTGCAGAGTACTTCTACGAAAATTTTCTGTGGCGAACTGAAAACTATTGCTTCCTTCATCAACTGATCTTCAAATTAGATATATGAACAAAAGAAAGTCTCATACAAAGCAAGAGCATTGGAAAAGAAAAAGAGTACAGTAACTGGAGAACACCTCCATAGACAGGTAAGGACCTTGGGTAATGCGCGAAATGCGGTAGATCGATAACCCACTTTCCGGTGGTATGTTACTCTCAAATGCCTTTTTTATGGCTTCTAGTGACAAGAAGAGTTGCTATAACATATTTCCTAGTTACAAAAAATCGCTTAAGCTTTTTATGAATGAAACGGACGTAGATGATGCCCAAAGATGCATGTGCATGACGTGAATCGATAAAGAATGATCAACTAATGTCATCTAGACAATTGAAAAGCAATTCCGAAATATGTGCGAAGCAACAGCTCATTTCAAAGACTAGCTGATGAGTCATTTGAAAAATAGCAACGAAACATAGCAAAAACATTGCGATATTTGCGCAGCTGTTCGAAACACTTCGAAGTGGGTTCAAACAACAGAAAAACTTCCTTCCTATTTAAATATAGATCGTTTACGGTGTGGAATGAGAACCATTAAGAGGCTTTTAACACGACGGAGAGGAGTTAGCATGGGGCCTCCTATTGTACTAACGGCGGTCTGTTGACGTAAAATACTCAAGGGTATCTGTGAACGCGACCAATATACCCAATCCAGCCCTCGCTGTAGTTCCCACCAGAGCCTTGCAACGACGAAGATTAACTCAATTTATTTGTTTCCGTTATGGTTTTGAACTACAGCAATTTGTAAAATGACTGTACCAGTTACAGGAGAGTCCACAAAACACTCTACACTACTCTACGCAACTTTATCCCAAGGATATTCCACGACAAGCACTACGGTAGGAATTTGAATAGAAGGTGAGTGTTCCTCTCATTTCTCCGAACATTGTTTAGTACTTTTTGTACCGGAGGGAAGAATAAACGTTCTAAAAGAGAAATTAGTAAATCATGAGAGCTTCTTGCGTACACTGTCCAGGACCGCTCTATTACCCAACAAGAGGGAAGATGGTTACGAATAAATAATTGAATTTAGGATACTTTCGACCTTTTTTGCACAAAATTGAGATCAAGCCTCTTGTAAGATCAAAATTACATGACAATAGATCCAAAATTCTGGCTGGTTCATTTGAACAACATTAATTTTTACTGTCTGGGGTCCATTTTTCTTCTGGGACCCATGGGTAAAGAGCTGAGCTTTAAGATGGGCAGTGGTCGCTATGATGTATCATAAAAGACCAGAATACCCACGAAAATTGGCCAAGGATCGAACGAATCGACGTCCTCGTTCACTTGACCGACACCCGGCTGCGGGAAGTTACTGTCTGGTTGTACCCTAGCAGCTACCCACCATGAAAACGAGGAAACGCCAAGGATCTCGTAGATATAATGCATTCTCGACACTCGACAACTTGACTCGCCCGACAAAATGGGGTTTCAGAGCGTTACGATCTGGTTTTGGTCAAGTTCTGAACAAAAAAAGGAAGAAATTGGAGGAAAGTTATGGAAAAAGCAGTTCAGTGAAGTTCTGAAAACTATGGCCATGAACGATCTCTGACTGGGCCTGATGGGTGCTGTACCCGGCTAGGTGTCGCCGAACACCATTTGAGACGGCTGGAAAAGGGCGAGAGGATGATGACAAAGCGGATTGAAAGGGCTACAAACGAACAACGTCTTTAACAAAGCGAATCAGCGAGTCTTGGGACGGTCGACGACCTACAAATCTACCGTGGACGTTTTCATCCGATCGATGCGAACCAACAGGTGGACGTCGCCCAATACCTTGCGAATGACTCATCAATCACAATACAAATGACTTTCATTACGAACATTACAAAGTCCGTGACGAACCAGACACAATACCCCCAAGAGAACAATTAATTTACAACGATGTCCTTTTTTTCTGTGAAAGGACAGCTCTATCAGGAGCTACTCCCAAAGGAAGAGTCATTTCTTTGCCAGCAAGTCGGTCATCGACATCAGGGACTTGGTTCCAGCTATCACAGTGAAAATGGTTTTTCTTCGTAAAATCTGTCTTTAAGAACTGGAGTGTTGGAGGTCTGGTCCGTACTCGCCAAGTGTGCCCGTCAACCTAGGTATATATAGGATAAGCAATGAAAATTGAAGTTCTTCGAAGGCTGGCAGTTCTTTCGAATGTCTCATTGTCAGTCGATAACGATGAATCCGTGCCCTTTAAGCCCTTTGGGACTACCATTCAGAAAGGATTCTAGTGGAGTTAGTCAAGAACTAGAGGGCACATGAACTCTGAAAGTCCTCCCTCTGACTAAGAAGTGCACTGTTGATTTTCGCCGCCATCCTGCTCGAAGAAGAAGTAAGCGAGGTAATTCAATAGAGAGGGCTAAATAACGAAGAAATCAGGAATAAAGTGCTACGAGTGCATGCGGGATTTGCACTATTCCGAGTTGGAAATGCAGAAAGATTTTACTGTCACAAAGATTATCCTTTGCCATATGGTACTACACTATCAATAAGAGGGTCTGGTAGAGATTAAAGCAAATCCTTGCCATTCTGGGTAACTTAAAGGCCCAGTTCACAATAAAAGTGG